GCCCCATCTTCCTTCCAAGGAGTGGCTGGTGGGTTTGAACCGCCAGCCTTCTGGTTAGCAGTCAAGTGCCTTAGCCACTATGCTACCAGAGCTCCCAACACCAACCTAGTGGGCTTTTAATCTGTCCACAATTTTTTGGCGCTCCTTACTTCAAAAGCCTTGCTGGCCTTCCCTCCCCTTGGATGAGGGCCAGATTAAATTATTTCCTTCTAAGGAATACAATATAGCAGAAGAGATATATAACTTCCAGTATTGCAGAAAAAAATAGCTTCTACCTGGCTCTCCAGGTCTGGGTCACTCTCTTCTTCCTTGGGGCAGACTAACCTGATGTTTGATAGGCTCACTCTTTAAATTTTTATCTTCAGTGCCTTCAAAGAGGGGACTGTTAAGCCTTTGCCTCAGGCTCTATGAAACACTTGCTTATCTGCTGAGATCCATTATCATCAGTGTTATATTTTAGGTCTTCAAGGGCTATCATTTCTTTACCTCCAAGTCTTAAGGCCACAATGAGTTCTTTCTGTCTACATTAATTTATTTCACTTTTGCCCTTGGGATCATTGTCTGTTAAGAACTGTGCCTGCTAGGAGAGTTAAAATAAAAAGCAAACAACCAAACCACCTGCCTGTCAAGTTGATTCCGATTCCCAGTGCCCCCATGTGCGTCAGAGGAGAACTGGGCTCCATGGGGTTTTCAGTCGCTGAGTTTTCACCAGATCTTTCTTCCAAGGAGCCTTTGGCTAGGTACCAGCCACCAACCTTTCATTAGCAGCCCACCACTGCTTAAATGTTTGTGCTACCCAGGGACTCCAGGAGAGTACGGACTACAAGAAAAAAACAGTCCCTCAATCCAGGAGGGAGGAGGAAGAGGGTATTCTCCCAGGCTTCTCAAGGGCTGTGGACATAACCTGAATATATGCCCATTTATTCAGATCGTCATTAAATAGTCATAAACAAAACTGCATAGGACTGTAAACTCAATGATGTCCCAGCGCTCTTGTCCTTTGAGCTGCTCTGACTGTCATTGTGCATGAAAGTTTCACTCAAGCAGACTGGCCACTATTACAGAGTTACCTTCAGAGTTGATAGCTGGTCAGTGAGCCACTTATAGGATTAGGCTAGAGTATACCATTGCCATCAAGTCGATTCCAACTCATGGTGACCCCCATTGGTTTTCCAAGGCTGTAAATCTTTACAGAAGTAGATTGTTT